ACTTTTTCACCGCTTGCACGGAAATTCTGTGCGCAAGCACTGGTGGATTTACGCCGGGTGCATCACCACCTTTTCAGCCAGCCTCTGCAGCTGGACCTACGTACTCACTTTATCACTCTCGCCGGGAGACGCAAGGTGAGGGGCAGGATGAAAGTTGTCAAGAAAGCGGTGCCCAATCGAAAGGCATCCGCCAAGAAAAACGACAAGGCTGGGAGCAAAGCTTCAACGATCAAGAAGAGCACTACCGCCGGTACCAAACCAAGTCGCAAGAGGGGTGCAGCTGGAGGAGGAGGCGCAGCAGGAGCTGCAGCAGCGGCCAGCGATGACGAGGATGACTTTGTCAATCGTAGAGCCAAGAAACCCAAGACAGGCCGTGTCGGCAGGTGCGATGGAAGATGGAAGGCATGATGACAACCTTTTGGAATTGATTTGAAAGGGCAAATCCCTCGGCGACGGTTGCCCCGCTCTCGCTTTGCTCTTGTCCTGTCATGTAGACTACTCTAGTACATGTCATGTACTCTATCATAGTACATACGTGGCTGGTATGTGCAAACGTTACAAAGGACTGCTGTACAGGATGTTTGCTCGGATAAACTGAGAACGCGCCCCTATCTCCTCTTGCCTTCCTTTCCCTCTCAGAACCGCTGGGAAGAACTACCCTCCAGAGATTCAAGCCGCGCTGGGCAGAGCTCGTATGCTGTACGTCAAGGGCAAGGTGGTCGAAGCATCGACAGAGCTCTCTGAAGTCGTGATCCAGTGCTCGTCTGTGAGTAGATCGCGGAACAATACACCACGCCATTTCTCATAGTGCTCTCAGCGCACTTGATAGGTTTGATGCCAGGATCACTACTGCTGTCTGCTTTGCACGTTTAGAGTATCTGGAGTATAGGTCCTGTAAACATGACTTGATATCAGTGTAAGCCAGCGGTGTTTCACAAAGGCGGCAGCGAGTCGTGAAGTGACGAAACACGTTGATAGGGTCGCCTGTTCATGTTTTTGAGTGCGTGCCTCACGCACACAGCCTGTTCTTCGGCATCGGGCTTGATCTTGTGCATCTTGTTTCGGGAACGCGCGCGGGGGGGTCGGGGGTCTGGTGGGCGGTGCCGCCCGGCAGGGCCCGTACTCACGAACGGGGGGAAACAAGGCGGCCAGCAGATGTCGGCCGCCGAGAAGAAGAACCGGCACGGGGGGAGGGTGGTTGCCATCTGGACATTTCTCACGGGGTGGCAGAGAATGTATCACGGTGAACGATGGATTGCCAGGCGATCCCCGAGGATGGTCATTGGGAGGAGGGTGCGATCCCGCTCCGTGGGCCACTGGTTGAACGTGGTGCCTTGTTGGGTTTCGGCGTTTCTTTGTCAGTTCAGCGTGGCATAGTCTCGAGGTGTCGCCAGGCCTGGGCAAGTTGTGATAACAGAGCGGGTGATAGCGAGTGCACCACTCCAACGACAATTCGAAACCACCTTCGTTCGATCCCTCTATACAGCGCTGAACGTTCTTCTGTATGTTCTGTGGGAGAGTAGCGTTTGCGATGCTGTTGCCTGTTCATTCAGTTCCTGCAGCGGCGTCGGCATCTGATGTACCGGTATACATGTAGAACCGATGGCCTTTATTCAATGGATGTACTCCTTTCGCACTTTTTTTCCTCACAGATTCCAGAGCCGTATGCGCTGCTGGCGATGATTTACCAAGACGGCGGAAAACACGAAGAAGCGCTCATGTTCTACAAGCTCGCGTGTGCTCGCGACACGAAGAATTGGGGCAATCATCAGGAGGTCGCTCGAATCGCAGGCATTCTCGGGGACCACACGTCCAGGCTCGAGGCTTTGAAGGTGCTGGCCCGCCTCCGACCCAACGACCTCAACGTTGCAATCGAAAGGGCAAGATGCTTGCTGGAGCTCCAGAAACCCAAACAGGTTAGTTCATGGAGATCGGGGATTTATTTTCTTGGGCTTGAAACGTGTACGGCCTATAACAGCGAGAAGACGCCTCACTACACGAACAATGCCACGACGTAATTTTTCGGACTGACAGTAGGGTCCACGCGCGTTGTGTGGCCCTTAGATTTATGGTAGATACACGTTGTGCGTCTCCATTCCCGCCGAACTTCACGGCTGCACCCCGAGGGTGAACTTGTGATTACCCATGCTTTCAGTTTACCACAGCACTACCGCCCAGCACGAAGGTAGACGCAGGACGTCATGCACAAAAGCAATACCTCCAGTGTACGTCATTCCTTGTTTGCGTGACCCTTCGCCTGCCCTCGCCCCCACCAATGTGACCGTGGAATGAACACCCTCCAGGCGTTGGACGTTTACGCGAAGGCCGCCAAGCGCTTCCCGAGGAAGCTGGACATCTACCTTGACCTCGCGGAGTGCGTTGAGTGCGTGTCTCCTCAGCAGAACATCTTCGTGCACCAGGCCTTGGCATCCTGTCTGCGGCGAGTCGTCGGGAAAAGGTATCTCGGGCCAGACGTCAGGGATCTCGCGGACGGCTTCTCGGCCAGGCTCCGCGAAATCAAGCTCGAGCACCCCAAACCGAAGCGCCTGCCAGCGCGCAGGCCGGGGCTGCCGTCCAAGCGTGAGGGCGAGGTGGCCATGACGGCGACCGCTCTCCTCGTGGGCAAGCTCATGGAGAGCCGCAAGAGACAAGAGCCGCAATACGAGGTCGCTGTGCAGGTAGTTGAGGGCCTCGGCAGCTGGCTCAACTCATGCCACCAGATAGCTTGCCGTGACGACCTCGAGTACGAATCGGGGGAAGGAGGGGAAGATGAGCTGGAGAACGATGGAGAACTTGATAGCGACAGTGACGTGCGAGACAGCAATGATGACGGCACCGACGACGAGGAGGACGAAGGGTCGAATTTAGACCGAGAGGGCGGCAGCGAGGATGAGTTGGACGGTAACGGCAACGACGAAGAGGAGGATGAACCCATGGACAATTTCGAGCTGGACCCCGAAATTGTGCTGCGCTATGGCATCTGCCAGCTTTACTGTGGCGAGAAGGAGAAGGCGGACAACGCCCTCCTTTTCCTGAAGGATGAGGAAGCCGACGGGCCTCACGGCAATATGATGTTGGAGGTGGCCAAGGTGAGAACATCACTGTTTCTCGGACAGCGTCCAACGTTTGTGGCGCATTCTTGACCATTCAATCCATAGCGCTTGTTCGGAGTGGTTTGCGGAGCTCTGTCGCTCGAGGGCTTCGAGAAGGTCTTCCGAATAGTAAAAACGATGGGGAGATCCCATCTCTGGGTCACTCTTAGAAGTGATTTTAAAACCTATTTTCGAAAATTTACATCAGTCATCCGCAATATTTGATGTGACAAGGGGTACGTGTCTTTGCGCATGAATTACCACATCACTGAGTTACTGCATTTTCTTTCACCTTGTACCCGTTAAAAAAGCGAAAGTTGCTCCTGGTAGGCAGATCATTCGCCGAGAAAGTTTCATTGAAGACTGAGCTTGACGTTACATCTTCAACAAGAACCTCTCCCTCCCGCAATCCTCCCTGCTTTGCTCCTTCAATTTATTTCCGTGCATTCCGGTAGGTTTACGCCGAGACGGGTTATCTAGTAGAGTCGCTAGAACTTCTGCGAAACGTAGCACAATCCAAGCACCCTCGCCACCGCCTGGCCAGCATTCAGCTCGGTGCAGCGTACGCATCCCAGGGAAAGCACGAACTTGCCTCGGATACCTATACCGTCGTCCTGGCAGAGCGCCCACACCACGCCGCAGCTCTAGCAGGGATAGCGGAAGCTGCGTACTGGCGAGGAAAGGGTACTGTTCCTGCTGCTCTGTCGGCGTTGACGACAGCCGTGAAGAGAGCCACTAAGACTTGGACGGACGGCGGTCTGGCGGCTTTCCCAGCAGAGGATGATGACGAAGGTGAAGACGCCACCACTTTCCAGAGACTGCAGCTTCTTATGCAGTGGGCCACGCTCAGCCTCATGGAGAACAACAGGGCAGACTTCGCGTGCGTGGCGGTTCCCCTGGTTAGCGTCGCACTGGGCCAGCTGGTGCAGCGGCAAGAGTTTGAACAGCAGAAGCCACCGCCTGTGCTGGCGGTTCGCTCGCCGGAGACAGCACGAGGCGGTCGGGCAGGACCGACCAAGCCAGGGACACCAGCTGGCTCCAAGCAGGGCGAACAGGTGAAAGAGGTTGGAGAGGGCGCGGGGGCTATGAGCGACCAGGCCACCCGTGCAAAGCAGCGAAGTTTATTGTGGAAGCCGACAAAACCAGTGCGCCGGATTCTGGGCAAGCTGGACTGGCAGGTTGGCCTTCGCGGCGAGGTATCCACGTTGACATGGCGGTTGCTTGAAGCCACAGACGTTATCGCGCAGGTCGGGCGACGCGCGGTGTTCTGGCATTTGGTGGAGGTCGTCCGTTCTCTGAAGGCCCTTGGAAGCTCTGATGAGGTGAAAAAATTGGTCGATGCAGCATCGCAGCCGAACGGGTTACTCAGGGGATTAGAAAAGGAAGATCTTCAGGCGGTCGTCACCAACGCTGACACGGCTGTGCTGCGCACTATGCCCGGCGGATCCCCAATTCACGGCCCCGCTTCGCGTGAAGGCTTTCTTTTGGGCCCTGCCATCACCGGGAACCTCTCGGCAAACCCCAACGGCGACGATTCTCCGACCGCGGTTGCTCTCATGTCCGAGCAGTACTATCCCCCGCCTTGGCGGTGTGTCGAAGAAAAGGATGACGATGGGTTGCCCCGTCGGGCCGGGCGCGAGTGGCGTCCTCCCACGCGCTCCCTGCATGGTACCGGTCAGCGCCGAAGCCGTGGTCGCGCTCTGATGGAGCTGGACGAGCGGAAGGACGACGGGGACGCCATATGCACGACCGTGCGGGCGCTGTCTAGGAGGCCGGGAAACGACGCCATGTGGAACCTTATGCAGCGAGTTGCGATGGAGCGCGGAGTGGAACAAGCGGATGGGGGTTTCCACGGGGAGCAGGTTGAGGCGCTGGTATCGCGGCACCGTGAGCGCCCCCAGGGGCTCCTACATCGGGCCCACGACGCCGCTATCTGGAATCGAGCCAAGCACGCGCTGAAGCTGTACAGCCATGCGCACGCGACGCGCCCGGAAGAACCGCTCCCGATACTTTGCCTCGCCATGCACATCTGCCGCACGGTGACGGTCATGGAGACAATGGTGGAGAACGATGGCGTGTGCGTACTGCAGGCTCTTGCTTGTCTGCACCGCTACGCCCACTTGCGCAAGGAACGGGCGCAAACCGCTGGCGAAGACGATCCCACGGTGGCGAGCACCAGCGGCTCGGCTGATGCCACGATTCCGGAGGCTGTTTTGGAGCAAGAAATTATGTACAACCTGGGTCGAGCGTACCACCAGGTGGGACTGCCAGAGCTCGCGATGGAGTACTACAGCAGAGCCCTGCAGGTGAAGGAAGAACGCGGGGACGAGTTGCGAAGCTGGCAGGGAAGCGATGATGGAGTCACGAAAGAAACCGCTCACAACATGTGTGCGCTGTACAAGAGAAACGGGCAGACTGCGATGGCTCTTAGCGTTCTCAACAAATATCTCGCCGTGGGTTGATTTTCCTTACAGAGGGTAGACACCACTGTTGTTGTTCGGGAGGAAGGGATAAAATTGTTAGGAAGTGGCGGGCATGAGGCGACTCGTGCATACCACGAGTACCTCGCTCATTGAAGTCGCGATCAATTTTGGTTGCGTTTTTGATGTTTCCGTGTTGCTTCTAGCATTGGCGTTTGTGTGGCACGCGCTGTGTGGAGGCTAACGATGTTGAATCTGTAAATACCAGGCAGGGGCGAGGGATAAGTCATTGGCAAGTGGGCAAATGCGCCAACGTTGGGCTGGGAGATTACGTTCCCAGCATTCACTCTTTTTGTTTTTGTGGCGGATCGCGGCAGGCCTTCCAGAGTGCAGAATGTGAGGTACGCAATGAACAACCTCCTCTCATTTTTCAACTAATTTCATGAGTTTCGGAAGTGTCTTTCGACGTCGTGGAGGTTATCTGCTTTTTGTGGCGAGGCACCTGGCACTGAAGCTGTTTGGTGCGAGTGCGTCGGCGTAGCACTTGGAGTTGAATGCGCCACCAAAGGTTTACGTGACCCGTGCTGCCCAGTCGATAAGCAGCAGCTTAGTTCCGGTTGGGCAAGAGGTGGCGAACACGGTCGGTATTTAGTAAGAATCAAGGTCTACACGATCTGGTGCTGTCTTAGTTTTAACCACTCCGGCGCAATGGTGTTAGGCAAAGGTGCTCAACCCGCCCTTCGTGTGTCCTCTGCGGGGTTTGTAGCTCGGTGAGGGGTCTTTTTGTGCAAGTAACGGTGTTGGGATTGGTCCTGCCGTTTATGAGTGTGATAGGAATGAATGGTAACTGACGCAGTTGTAGTATTCTTGATATGTGATTCGATGCTTGGGCGTCACCAAAACAAATGGTACTGAAGTACGAAGAATAAGGGGGGGTAAGAGGAGAGAAGAAAATCCTCGGCGCCCAAAACGCCATAACGTTGGATCCCCGATATTTTGAACGAGGGAAGGGGCAAGCTTCCCCTTCCGACGGCGCTGCGTGTTTGACCAAGAGAGATGCGCTAAAAGCACACACACGGTGTCGGTCACCATCAGGGGTCCGAAAGAAACAATTTTGGACATGCGTTCATATGGGGGATGAAATTCCATCATACATTCGTGACATCGTGTTGCATTAGATAGTCTACACAGGCAAGTGTTGACCTCCTGGTATTGCAACTCTTTCTGAAGGTCACGTTCTATGGCTGTAGTGCGACTCTTAACTCTTCATCACTAATCCATTCCACCTGCCCGTCTAGACACGTTTGACCACCGATTTAGTCGTGAACCTGACCTTGTTTCAAGCTACCTACAACTAGGGGGGGAGAATTCCTCGGGCCAAGTGTTTCTTGGTGCAGTATTGGCCGACCAGGTTCATCCCCTTGTTGCCCGCCTTCAGCACGCCGTTGGAGCGAATGGCCAGCGTCCCAAGAATGAACCGGATAAGCCGGTCGAGTCGAGGCGCAACCGCAATTCCCAACCCTCCCGTGGCTCCGGCTACGACGTCGTGTTGGGCTGCAGACGTTTCAACAGAAAAGCTTAGAGCCGACTCGTAGTCCATGATATCCGTCACCTTGATGGCGTTGAGAAGGAAACCGAACACGCGGAACGGCGGCAGTCAGATAGTGATCCATCGGTCCTCAGACCGCACAGCTGTATACCCTTGGAAGCGACACGGAGTCTAGAGGTGCACCGGGGCGGCAAGTATGCTTTGTACTTGGGACATACATGAAACTCCCAAATGGAGTGGTGAGGAAGACACTGAGGTTGGGAATGTTCCCGAAACGCTTGTTTTACTCAATGGAGACAAAGATTGACACCCCCCACCCCTACTGAGTGCTTGATCCCCACTCGGATCGAAGTCCAACAGCACCACCTACACACCGTTTTTCGGGTCTCATGTCTGATGGTCAACCCCCGTAGGGATGTAAACCCTGAATTGGGTGTATCCCTTGCAATTGTCACCGTGTGAGAGCAGTGTTGAAAGGCTCACAGAGTGATTGTAAGTCACTTGTGTTGTAGACCAGATACGATGTTTTTTGAAATCGCGATGAGATGTCCGAAAGGTAAGAAGAGAAAGGGAGAGTCCTGAGACTCGCAAGAGCCCGAAGGACCTTGAAGGGGCCATGGGCCTTGGTCGATGTAGGGAAGAAAGGAAATATATACCAAGAGAGAGAGTAGGAGCGAGCACCACGGGGGCGAGTCATCCATCTCTGTCACGGAAAGACAAACGGGTTATTGCCACGTACCGATCGTGGTAAGAGGCGGTTGACCCAATCGAATGCAACAGTCATAAATATCCCATAGGACAATGGTCCGATGTACCATACTATTTTGGTTCGAAATTAACCCGTAGGCGTGTACAACAATCCGATCTAAGAATCAATTACTGAAAACTACTCCGGTAATGCTTGTCAGGACTATTTACCGATGTCTTAGTACTTGCAGTAGTACTGACAAAGAATATCCCAACAAAACCAACGTCGAGACTAGATAGTTTGTTGACATCAACATCATCTTGACTGCCTACATATTATCGCGTTTTGTGGTAAGAACGACAGCTCGCGTACAACCTCGAAAATACTTGTGGATTTCATCGCAATGTGTTCACCTCTGCTTCCCGCATGTCCTGGTCTGATGGGATGGGCATTGCAATCGCTAGCCGCGTCAGCGCTTCGAGAAAGTCCACAAAGGTTAGCTGAAGACAACAAAAAAGACGATGCAGGCGTCAGACGAGTGTGGTATTGTGTTTTTATCGTTCTGGTAGCCAACCTTGTGCTCGATGGCACGAACTGCCTCATTAGTCGTGAAGCCGGTGATGGAGCGAAGACAGCACTAGATTAGACCTATGGTCTAGGCTTACAAGGCAGGAAACACATGATGCCGCTGGCGTGGACTCAAAGCGAGCCTCGACAGCACTAACAAAGTTCCGCGAATCAACAAAAAAAGAATGCTCGCTCTAGCCATCATGAAGCAAAACGGTAAACGTTGTACAAGACAACATGCATCGATTATCCAGGTTTTAACCTCATCTGGCACTATGTGCGATATAATGTTGTCGCATTCGATCTCCTTCGATCGTTCGACGGAGAAAACTCGATGGAAATGCTCGACATAGTCGGAATACATTCGTGTTTCCTGCTCGTTTGAAATTTTCCGCCATTGTAACCACTTTTGTTGTGGAACTTGCCTGCGTCATTTTCACACGGCTCTTGATTTCGTCGCTGACCATCATCCGTGCCATGTAGAACGGTTGCTTAATGTCCCGCAGGCCCATCCTCAGCATGTGGATATTGTCGCCAATCAGGCGGGCGTCGTTCGTAAATGTCTGCAACGTGGATACCATACATACATGCAAAGGATGGTGTTGCACTTCCGACGAAGAATGCCATTTGCAGGGGTTCGTCGGTGCGGACAGTAGACGGTATCGGGCGCGTTGAAAAAAATCCCGACTAGTAAACGGTTGTTCTTGATGACTGGTCAAGGCAGTACGTACACTGACGCTTGAAGTGTGTCTCCGGCGTTGTCCCTTCCTGTAGGGCTGGGCGACGGCTTCCCTTGCACTCCTCTCCAGACTCTACTTGAACGCGTTAATTTTCGAACTTCGATGTTGTCTGACGCCGATTCTGGCTATGGGTGACGCTGCAGCATGGCATTCAGACTCTGGTCTTCACCGACTACCTGCGTAGAATATCCCTAGGGGATTCCCATTTCATTCCGTGGCTTCCACCCACCTGTGCGCTCTACTTGCTCACCTTCCATTCCTCCAGGCCAAACGAAGGCTTGCCAGCGATCGGGTCGAGCATGCTGTACTTCTGGTATACGATTCCCAAGGCCTGTTGATGCTCCTGAACATGCGTGAGCATAAAAACAATAACGCGCCGATTGGTGCCGGTCTCTACATAAAGCACAAGGCAACACGACCAGGGTGACAAAAGAAGAACACGGTAGACCACTAGGCAATAGAAAGGGTTCGTAGTCAACAGTTTTGGAAGAGGCTGCAGTCGTCGACGAGTCGAGTTCCGACGCCCAACGCCAACCCCATATTTTGCACGGTATGCGGTTACACCCGGGCGTGATCGCCATCTGAGCCGGGCGGGGACGAGCGTGGGATCGTGCATACGCACTGATGATGAACACGGGCTGCGTTTAAAATAATCGGCACGCGCTTGTCAAGGTCGTTCAGAAACAACTTGTGACTTGACCATTGGCTCACGTGGACTATCTTCAGGTCGCCCCGGTGGTCTGGTGGGTAGCCTCGCAAACCTACCATTACTAGTAACAGATGGAGATTCGATTATCTCCCGGGTGGTTTTGTCCGCGCAATTTGGAGAGGAAAAAGATAAATTTCGCGAGTATTCACAATTCGACGTTACGGCCAAAGAAGGAGCGGGACGACTGAACGCTGAACGCTTCTCGCCATGAAGGCAGAGGCAAACATCGCAGGAGGAGGTAACGAACAAAAATCTCCTGTGTGATCCCGGCTGATACGTCAGAAACACACACCGAACGGTGTGTGGACTGGCACTAGAACAGATGAGATGGACACACGCAGGTACACATCCTCTTATCATAACGTGCCGTCGTGAGCGACGTTGTGGCCATGAGGGCGACTGAAAGCACAACACACCTGAAGAACGCCGTCGCAAGCGTCAGTGTACAACGTTTCGTTTCGGAACGTGTCTGGATCCTCCAGGGCCTCCGGTGGCAGGTTTACTAGCAGTTGCTCTTCGATTACATTGCGCATCTGTAAGGGGGTCCGAGGGCACGGCGCGGGATTTGGAAACAAACAACCCAACGGTACAATCGGTAGCATGTTGGTAGACGGACGGAAACACAGCAATTGTTCATAGGTTTCGTAACAGAATCGCAAGACCCCACCGTTTATCATACCCTCCCCGTCCCAGACGAGTCATCCGTTCCTGTTCGTCAACACAACTTTTGCTCTCACGATTCAATGACCAACCTTGCGATAAATTATCCCCGTGTGTGCGAGTCAGCCAACGTGTAACTCTTTAGAAAGTAATTATCGTTTGGCACCTGTAAGCAAAGGGGCGGACAAGTGCATAAACGCTTCGTGTGACTATTTTATCAGTGGCCAAGTTGCACTCAAATCGTACCTTCTCCGCGGGGGACAACTCTTCTTGGCCCTCGTTATCGCGCACGATGATGGCCACCCTCAGCAGCGCTTCCAGCAGCTCAAACCGCATCAGCGCTCGATCTTCGTTCACGGTGGCTTCAGCGCTCCGCTAATCAAAACCAACACCAACGGTCAGGGTGTCGACCAAGGTGGGCGCCGAACAGATCGCAAGGAAAGAGAAATATTCTTGTCTTGTCTGCTAGGATAGGAAGATAGGAAGGTGTTCGAGGCTCTTGGGTGGTCGGTTATTGCTCTGGCAGGCTGAAGCACGGTGGAACCGTGACAGTCGTGAGAGCTTTGAAGATCATGGACCCCGAAAGAACAGCGGCGCACGAGTCGTTTTAAGCAGGTACATAGCATTACCTCGCCTTGTATCCTATCCGCATATTCACCGAATGCATCCGCTCGTTGTGTCATGTTCCTTACTGAAAGGATGCGCGGAGGACGCAAATAACACAAAGATGGGTGTGCAAGATAAGTCGACAAGAAAAACGATTGCAAATGCCCCACTCACTTTGTCGGTTTCGAAGTTCACCATCACAAAAATCTTGCCGATCTCTTCCACTGATATGAAATTTCCGGCAAGCTCTGCATCCTGCATCATCTTCCCGAACTGGTTGGGCTGGATGGAGAAGGCTCCACGAACGCTCTGGCTAGGCGTGAGGCAATAGTACTTGAAGATGCACAGGATGCTCTTGTAGAACGGGGCGATAGCCTTCTTGACCTGTTCAGACGTCGGAAAAGTAACGATCGGTCGGGGCGCAGGGTGTGACACGAACGAGTCAAGCAGCTTCGCGTGTACGTTACGGTAATGCTATGGGTGTGTCACAACACTGTCGTAGAACTAAGTACGGAAGAGTAACTCATGAAACACAAAAAGGGGCGGGTTCTCCGGAGCTGATCCTAACAGAACCTGTCAGTCCCCCTCCTCTGACGTCGACCACCAAACCCAGGCTTCTTCGTGCGAACGACCACTGAAAAAAAACAGCTCCAACGTGGCATTGATGGGCAACATTTTTTTCTGCTATTCTTCTCGACAATCAAAGCGCCCTCGTACACTCTCCCACATTGCCCCTTTCTGCAAGGCACGAACAACAAAAGCACCCCAAAACGATCGAAAAAGTGCAGCGCTCTCCCCCGTTGTTCCACCGATACAGGACCACCCAGCTCCCAAGTTGTAAGCAACGCACACAAGCAGATGAACCACCGAGCAAACGTCTCGTAATTCTGGCTTTATAAACGAACGATGCCCCTGAAATGGCTCATCAACATGCCTGGCCTGAAAAATCACCGCGACAGCCTCCACCTGAAACACACAATTATCACATAGAATAAGCACTCTCCCTGTTGCACACAGACCTCATCGAGGCTCTCCGCAACAGACTTTTGGCCCTTAGCCACGGCGTTGTCGGACTTGGCCATGAGCTTAACGATCCGGTCTTCCTTGAGCATGCGACCGAAGTCCGCGTCAAGAGCCTTAAGGACCACACGCTCCGTATCCCAGAAGGTGCGGCTCTCGGCCTCCCTCCGTCGAGGGGCGAAGATGCTGCTCGGGGTCGACGTTGTTGTCATAAGCGTCGTTGTGTGCCACGCAAGACGGGTCGAAAAAAACACGTGGCTGGGTGGTGGCTGCTACGGCAGTAGAGACTAACTACAATCAGAGCCAGGCTAGTGGGGCTACTCGCGACACTCAAAAGAAGTGGCAGTACGGCGGGCGTGTTGTGCCATGGGATGGTGACCTATACCATTGTCAGATCACACGTGTCCACGTATGTCCTGTGGACGGACTTGCTTTGTTTTCTTGATCAACAACATGTATTTCAACGTGATCTCAGGCCAAGCCTTAATGTAACCCATGTTAACCTCTGCGTCGCGTTGACTTGCTGTTTTCATCATTCCACTGAACGCTACCGCTGCCGTTTTCATCCACCTGTGGTTGACATCCCACTTAGTGCTGGCGTCGAGAGTCGACGTCGATTGGTCTTCGTCCTCTTCCTCTTGAGGCTGCTCGCTGACCTCGAAAACCATGAAGTCGGAGGGCATCGCCCCGAACATTTTGCACCTGGTTCCCGGGCACGCCTTCCGAGAAGACACACGTAAGGAATTCAAGACTTGGCGGATTACAACTGGCCGAAAAAAATCAACCCCATCAAGATGCGTCAGTGGCATAAAAACACGAACGAACGTCAACACTTGTGAGCACCGTTACAAGTGCAGCCGAAAATCCACGCGGAAGTCCTGTCCAAGGTGACCAGTCCTGATTCGATTCTGATGTACCTTCCACACGAGGGTGTGGTATTTGCCCTTGGTATTGGCAATCAATCTGCCTCCGCCTAGTTACTCATATCGTACGAGAAGCGCTACTAGTGCATGTTCTCAAGAGACCCAAAACGTGTTGACTCACTTCGTTCCCGTGCGCTTGTTGGCACGCGATCTCACACAACGAGATGTAGTGGCAAGAGATGGGAGGGCATTGCCTCGGAGGTGGAAGGTAGAGCACGGGCTTCGCGTCCGGCTCCTCTAAGTTCACCATAATGTTGCGCACAGCGGAGGGAAGCCTGAACTGTGGACCCCTAAATATTGTATTCTCTGCGACAAGGCTTGGAGGAAAATGCTGAATCGTTCATGTCCACGGGTCGTTCGCCGTGGCCTTCGCCCTAAAATCACGCTCAACTTACAAGGAACGAAGCTAGCTCACGGTTGCTGCATTCATTGGCAATAGACGTTCTGTTCACAGCATATGATACTTTGGCGTGTATCCGAACATAGATATATTAGCAAACAAATGTTCCTGCACCTGCAGCCAGTGTTGAAAGATGGGCCCTCTCACATCGATAGATTTGAAAAAAGTGATAATGCTACTTTGAAAGAAATGAAGGTAGCGGCATCGATCCAACGATGAACGAACATGTGTCATTCCCACGTGAGCTTGGGCCTTCAGGTGACCAAAAACAGTGCATTCCTACCTGAAGGGTAATCCGGAGGTGGTGCCTCTGGTAGAGCCTTGTGGAGCACGTGCCTCAACTCGGTAGGCTTTGATAGAGAAGGGTACCCGCCGGGGTCCAATACTTCGCAGATAACTCTGCTGGTGTGGTATCTGCTTGCACGGTGGGCGGTGTTACGCGGAGGGGGTCATACGGAGGATCTCGTAATTGATGACTGATACCGGACCAGGTTCCGTGTAGGACCCCTGTGATAGACCTATGCGTTTCTTCTCACAAATGATAGCAGAGCCCGTCCTCCGCCACGTAATGGTCGTAAATTTCAGCGCAGACAGATGCCCCGCGGACGTGTGGGAACAGAGCCATGGAGGTAGGGTTGACCACGGGCTTTGCCACGCCACTCCTTGTCGGCCCGTCAAACACCAGCTTGTAGTTCAGGGGCGGCTCCACCACGACCACCGTTTGGTTCTACGATGTGTGCACGAAGGGAGTAAAAGCGGGCTGTTGTGCCAACAGCGAGCAGGCAGCTAATAGGGATGCAGTGCTACCGAGAGAAGAACGTGGCGGGAGTGCTGGTGCCGGCCTTTGAGCAGGCGGCTTCGTACACGGTTTCGAGAGGAGGGCCAAGAACAAAACAGGTCCCGAGGCTACGCGTTCTCAGAAAATATCCATCACTTTGAACAGAGGTAGTCCTCCAGAAAAGCATGAACGCGAACAATGCTGGTAACTATTTTGAGTTCACATGGTGACGAAACAATATCGTTTCGTTGCGCTTGAAGAACTAGAAGGGAAGACGAGATGTTGCATAACCTTCAGCGCTTGTTGCATGAAGACAACAATAATAACAACATATTCGGCGACCTAAGAAGGAGAGCAGACTGGACAATGGTCAGGCAGACGAGTGTGATGTACCATTTCGATGTCAGCCCTATGCTTTTGCCAGACTGCTTGTGCACAAACCGAAGGGGTTCGTGCTACCCAAATGGATCGCTTGAACCTCGGGTGAAGCCAGTGGGAATTGACCAGTCGTACAGCCACGCTAGCGCTACGCCACGAAACAATGCTATCTTATCTTGCTTACCTCTTTGACTGCTTGGTTGAACATATCTTCCCGCTCCTCCTTTGTCGGTTCCAAGCTCACGGGCGTCTGCATAGCGCCGGCTCTTTACGGATTCGGTTGGCAATCACGACGGCCGAGTCACGAGGCAGGCATCTTAAACACATTCGGTTACATCACGTAGCATCACATCACGGCTATTGAAGGAGGAGCGGGGTGGGCGTCACGATCGGGGCACGCTTTGAGATAGACCAATGCCGAACCTGGAAAAACAGGACGAGGTAGGTAGTATCATACCGCAAATCCACCACATCCGTACGTACCATTCAACAGGATCATTTTCTCTTTTCTCCCGTGCTTCCGTGTCCACTACGGGTAGAGAAAAATAACGTTACCCTTTTTCGTCACTTCTCCTGCCAATACATGCACTCTCACCCCTTTGAAGGAGCCGCGCCGGTACTATCAGGGAGGGTCCCATGCTGTTTACGGCGCCAAGCTGGCAATGGGTTCGGCGCGGTGTAGCAGTCGCTCACGAAAGGTCTCCATCGGTACTCTCCGGCAGGAAACGGAGTCGACCCTGCTCGGTTGATGCGATTGGTTGGTGCACGAGAAACCCTTGCTGCGATGCCGTCGTGCGTGCCTCGTAGCCGCCCCGGCTACTATGTAAATAAGCTGCGCTTATACCCAGCCGAGGGAGGGATGGCTCACTCTTCACATCTTCTTACAACGATGGAATCAGTCGCGCAACCTCCAACCGTGTTGCTATTTGCCTAGCGCACGAAGTTCAGCCTCATTGACACGCACTCTCTCAACGGAGCGTAGACGTTTACTAGCATAGGACCAGTCGCGCCAGGGGCATGCACGCACAGGAAGCCTCGTCGTTAATAGTTGGCATGCACTACAAGTAATTTTCTAGTGTTCACCTAAGCTTCCAACAGGTCCCACGCGGTGAGAACTCTGAAGCGGTATCGGTGTTCTTATCCTTCGTTGTTTTTGTCCATCGGCCTCCCGCCCCCCGGACACACACACTGGAGCAGGAGAAATTGCTGGGGTACTGGTAGGCTCGCTCTCTCTCGACGCCTGCCCTCGGCTGTTGCTCTTTCTCCCTTCACCAGCCCTAGACACAGCGCCCCTCCCACCCGTATGTGGACGCGCATTCCCCAGCTGGTCGCGTGTTGACATCGCCTTTGGCTGGGTTCTCGACGCGCCGGCCTGAGACTGTGGTCGGCGGTGCGAGGGGCCGCGGAGGGCGGTGGCGGTGTTGGTGCTGTCAACGATTCCACCGCCTCGAGGGGCTGCCCTGGTCGGAGCGGTCGCCGCCCGTTCAGACGCCGTCTGCCACAACGATGTCACCGGCTGGCGAAAGTCTTGCCGCACTTGCACCATTGCAGCGTGCCCCGTTCTGATCGGTGGTGTCGTCGGCTTTCGCTTAGCACCTCTTTCGTGCTCGGGAGCTCTTTCTTGTCCTTCTCGCCCGTGCGCAGGTGTGGCATCGACGTCGCCCTCGACTTTCGCCACCGACTTCCCAGTGTCGCTGTCACTGTCCGCACCGGCACACCGCTCTTTCGGCGTACTAAAACCCCCTCCTTTGACCCCCTGAAGGTTAAAGTACAACGGACGAGGGGCGACAACCACCACGATCCGGCGTGGTTGCAATCGCGAGCACCACAGACACCTACGTGAAGGTAAGGATAAGGACCCCTTATGCCCCCCGCTCGGAACATATCCCTATACTGTACGCGATACCTGATCTGGCCGTCTGGGCTGGGCAACCGGCAGGCGTCGTTCGGCGAACGTTCTTCGCCAGGCAAGCAACAGGCATTAAATCTTCAATTCAAGTTCCACATCAAACTTGTTTTTGATTCGATCCGACTCGAATCCCACATGTACCTGAACCCAGGCTAGAAATCGCTCCCGAACTATCCGTGCGGCCGGTGTGCCCCCATTGGTCAGGCGGCCAGCCAAGAGAGAGGCGCGAATGGACTCTTCCAAGCTCCGATCCGCACGGGAAGCCGTGACTTGTTTTGATCCCCGAGAAATCTGTTATCAGAGAACGATTGCATGGTGGGTCGCCCGGAGAAAGACAGGGACGCGTCGGGGGGGGGGGGGGT